CTATTGCTGCTACTGGGCACTTTCTATACGTTGTGTTCACTGTCACCTCAAGCACGCCATGACCTTGCTTGTTGCCTGGGTTCAAGTCCTGTGGACAGCCCAGCTGTGGAGCACATGCTTCAGGTTTCAGGTCAATTTTTGGATTCCACATGGCTAAGTCCATGGTGCCCTTAGCATTGTGATTGAGCATCAGAGGCATCCCTTATACTTACGATGTGGAGGTTCCCCCACAGCTTTACATCCATAATCTTTCACATCCTTGTGCCTCCACGGTGAGATACATGCCTGGGCTCCTGGGTACCCTGTGGGTATTTCTTGGTTGGGGAGGGGGTTATTGTTTTAGCAGGGAGGTTAACCGGGAAGTTGGTTCTAAATTCTTCCCTTAACATCATCCTTTCAGCTTCGTATCTGACCTTTCTTTTTTTTTTTTTTTTTAAACATTTATATTACATCTATCTCCAAATTCCTAGCACTAATTCAGGCATTTCTTTTCAAATTTTGTGTTTTCTTTCTTTTTCCATTTCTGAGGAGGCAGATATTAGAAGATCTTAATCACTACGATTCCTGTTTCACACCTTCGGTTCTGATAGCCTATCTGGCTTATATTTGAGTTTTAGTTCAGGATGTAAGTCCTCTCTGATTCAGGCTGAAGTTGTTCTTAAAGGAACAACTATCCTGTTTCTAAATTGTAACTGGTTTATTACCTGGACACAAAAGCTTGCTAATACAATTGCCTTTTGATTTGAATCCACTTTTTGAGATGACCTAGAACTTTGTTCATTTGCCAATGGGAATAGCTTCCCTCTCTGATGCACACTTTAGCTGAGTTAAAAAAAAATTGGCCGGTGCCGTGGCTGACTTGGCTAATCCTCCACCTGTGGCGCCAGCACCCTGGGTTCTAGGCCTGGTTGGGGCACCAGGTATTAGTCCCAGCTGCTACTCTTGCAGTCCAGCTTTCTGCTGTGGCCTGGGAGGGCAGCAGAGGATGGCCCAAGTGCTTGGGTCCTTGCACCTGCATGGGAGACTGGGAGGAAGCACCTGGCTCCTGGCTTCGGATCGGTGCAGCACTGGCCACAGTGGCCATTTGGGGAGTGAACCAACAGAAGCAAGACGTTTCTCTCTGTCTCTCTCTCTGACTGTCTAACTCTGCCTGTCAAAAAATAAAAAAAAAATTAAAAATTAAAAAAATTGTTGCATTACTTACATATACCATTAATAAATAATAATTCACAAATAGGTAAGGAATAGCTGTAGCCACCACCATTTGGAGCCTCTGATAAATTGGAGATGCAGATGGACAAAGTAGATAATGTTTCACAAGCTGTAAATATCTGCACATTTGATTAAATTCTACATCATTATGAAATTTAGAGGGAAGAGTCAGAACATCAGATTCAGATTGTCACTTGACTTTTTTTCATTGTAAACTATTAAATTCCTTACTATTTTAATCCAAGTGTCTCTGTATATCAAACTACTGTAACAATATTTGCCTTAGGCTGGTGCCGCGGCTCACTTGGCTAATCCTCCGCCTTGCGGCGCCGGCACACCGGGTTCTAGTCCCGGTCGGGGCGCCGGATTCTGTCCCGGTTGCCCCTCTTCCAGTCCAGCTCTCTGCTGTGGCCAGGGAGTACAGTGGAGGATGGCCCAAGTGCTTGGGCCCTGCACCCGCATGGGAGACCAGGATAAACACCTGGCTCCTACCATCGGATCAGTGCAGTACGCCGGCCGCAGCGTGCCGACCGCAGCAGCCATTGGAGGGTGAACCAACGGCAAAAGGAAGACCTTTCTCTCTGTCTCTCTCTCTCACTGTCCACTCTGCCTGTCAGAAAAAAAAAATAATAATAATAATATTTGCCTCATAGAGATTTTAATTGCAAATTGATTGAAAAATATTTTCAAATATAAACGTTTAAGTCTAAAGTAATTCTTTTGATTGGCAACTTCTGTGTCTTAGTAATATGATTGCATTGTTGTGTATATACTTCAGTTCAAAAGCACCTGTACTTGCCCATTGGCTGTAGGCTCATTGCAGATGGGAGGAATGTACACTCTGGGCACCCGGGGGCACCCGGGGGAAGAGCATTGGAAAGAGCTGATTAAAATGAGTTTGCATTAGGTGAAATTGGGAAGAGCTCCAGGAAATGAAGCTTTGGTCTGCACTGAGTTCTGTCAAGAATCATTGGTAACACTGTGATTGGTAATCTTAATAAATCCTCTATAGAAGGAATGAAGACCAAACTAAAGCTAACGATCCAAGTAATTGCTTAAGAAGCAGTAGTCATTCGTCTAAGCCAGGAGAGAGAAATGTCTGGTCATTTTTATGTTTTAAACAATATTCATAAATTTGTCGATGTTCTGGTATGTTTTTGCTGTACTCTTATTTCTGTATCGATTCATCTCAGGGAGGCCTTGTCTAATGTTGATGTTTTCTGAATTTTTTATGTTCAGCAGAACACCAAGACGCAGCTGTGAGTACCAGGCAAGCTCCTGGATATTAGAGTCTGTTTTTCTGTTTCCCAAAACAAGTGTGTATGTGGAGGAGGAAGAATAGGTACAGATATGCACGTGTCTAGACATGTAGTGTTAGATTAAAATTATTTAAACCTAAATAAATGAAATTACTAACATACATTGATTAGTACACAATAAATCACTTTTATTAAAAAAATTTTTGTTTAGGGGCCGGCACTATGGAGTAGCAGGTAAAGCCGCGGCCTGCAGCGCCAGCATCCCATATGCGCGTCGGTGCAAGACCTGGCTGCTCCACTTTCAATCCAGCTCTCTGCTATGGCCTGGGAAAGCAGTAGAAGATGGCCCAAGTCCTCGGGCCCCTGAACCCTCATGGGAAGACCCCGAGGAAACTCCTGGATCTTGGCTTTGGATCGTTGCAGCTCCAGACATTGCAGCCAATTGGGGAATGAACCAGAGGATGGAAGACCTCTCTCCCTCTCTCTCTGCCTCTCCTTCTCTCTGTGTGTAACTCTGACTTTCAAAAAAAAAAAAAATGTTTAAAAAAATCAGGAGCCAGTGTCATGGTGTAATGGATAAAGCCTCTACATGTGATGCTAGCATCCCATATTGGTGCTGGTTCATGTCTTGGCTTCTCCATTTCAAATCTAGCTTCCTGCTAATGGCCTGGAAAAAACAGTGTATGATGGTCTAAGTGCTTGAGACCCTGCTACCTACATGGTAGATTAGGAAGAAGCTCCTGGCTCCTGGCTTTTTTTCACTCCTGGTATCTGGGGAGTGAACCAACAGATGGAAGATCTCTCTATCTATCTCTCTGTCTCTACCTCCATCTCTGTCTCTAGCTCTATTTCTAGCTCTCTCTGTCTTTTATTCTTTGTATGTAACTCTGATTTTCAAATAAACAGGTAAATCTTTTTAAAAAATCAAACCAGTGTTTTGTAATTTGTATTTTACATACTGATTTTTATTTCATTTATTTTGCTTTAAAATTGGAGGTCTGTAATACTGCGCATAATAAATGTACTATTGTCAGATAAATATATCTGGAATGAAAAGCATAGCTAAGCATTAAAGAAATTAAATAAATTAATACCTTTCTTCTAAGATGGAGAAAACTTTAAAACTTTACTAATGTAAAAAGATAAATAAATAAGGTTCACATTGATGTATTTCTGAGTTCTAGTTTTGATTATGTCTTACATTTCCTTGCCTACCCACTGGCAAAGAAGAAGAAAAATTGTATTTGTGAGGCAAAGACAAAATAATTGTTATTTCCGTAACCTATTTATTCCAATATGCGGCACTCAGTGAGACTGATCAGACTTAACAAATCATCCCCATTCTTAGCCAGGCTTGCATTTTGCATAGAACTATCTATGCCAAATGGTCATTTTTCTCACATTTATTATGTTAACAGGATAAATGCCAACATTTGTCAACATCTTGTAAATGATGAGTCTTAATGAGGCAAGCTACTGTTTCCCTCCTCTGAGGAATTCCATGGTAAAATAAGCAAAATATCAGGTTAAAGCAAGTGGGTGGGATTCCCAGAGAGCAAACCTTTCTATGAACATATATTCCTTGATGTTTTGCTGAGAGTGAATTCTAGGATGCAGGCCAACTTGGCCTAAACCTTCATACAACACTTTAATTATATTTTTGACAAATCCTGCAAAATGAGGTTCACATGTTGATTCAGCCAAAAAGAAGCAATATCTACAGAAAGCAGCAGAGAGGGAGTGATTTAGAAGAGATGCCAAAAGCATGAATACAAGTGTTTTTTTGACTACAGGGCCATGTTCCACTTGCATTGGGAGAAGGCATAAAGAGTGAAGGAGATACCCTTGCACTAGAACAAAGGAACCAATCCGTTTTGATTTAACAGAAGTGTGCGAGACTCAGAAGTTGAACATGTGGCATTTACAAAAACACTGTTTACAACATGCAAATACAAGGCTTTATCTGAAGTAAGATACTCCCTGGGCTTGCCAAAGTACTCTGTCAGAAGCCTGGAAGTCACAATAGGATTATAGGTAAGATCACAGGTGTGGAGGTCAGAAACATTTAGTCACTGTGTTTATTTCCTGACTACAGACATTACGAAATGAAACACACTTGAACACATCACTTCATTTCCCTGTCTCTATCTGTAAAATGCCTGATTGTTGCAATACTTAAATGTGTGATAACACACTTAGAAAGACAATTAATAAAAAGCAATTCTTGTCATTATTGTATCTGCTCTTGAGATTGAAAATTGGTAATCTCCAATGTTAAGAGTAAAGAGTGGGTGTCAGTCCATTAACAGTTCTACAAAATAACATGCCTTCTTGTAGGTAGCTTTGAATGGCATGTCAAGTGAACTATATTCTTGTGTAAACCCCAGAATGCTTTAGAAACTAGGAAATTAAGATTTCAATACTCTTTTTGAGAACCCCCTTTTGGAAATATTTGCTAGTCTCTATCAGTATTGTGCCAGTGAAGAAAGATCTTTCAATGGAACTGGCAATGATGGCAAAAATCCTTACCAGCACAATTCTCTTACAGTCAAGATGGCTGCTGCAGCTCCAGGCATTTTGTCTGAATTTCAGGCAAGAAGAAGCAGAGCAGCAAGTATATCAGGAAAATAACATTTTCTCAGAAATCATAGGTATGTTTCCCCAGACTACTCTCAATTTTTGTTTGTTATCTAGTTTAAGTTCAAGTTGAATATGTTGCAATCACAAACAAAATGCAGACTCTGCTGATAAGGAAATGAGAAAGCTGAATAGCTGGGAGATAATTAACCAAACTGACCTGTGTGTACTGGGTGGGTGGTGTAAGGGAAGCTAAGTGGAGAGAAGAAAGAAACAGCTTCATGTGTCTGTCCCCAAAAGCAAGAGGGAAAATGACATTTTCAAGTCTTATTCTGGTGGGGACTTCAAAGAAAGGGAAGCAGAGTGTAGGATATCAATGATGTAACAATGTATAAAGGAAGCAGAGCATTCATATCAATTAAGTAACACAATTTCTATTTTTTCCTGAGTCATGGGAATTCACGGAAATGACATGGATAGATAAATGCTCTCCATTCAATGTGAGACATTGGATGTGTGTGGACCATGGAGCATGCTGTAGTTCCTTCAATAGAGTCAACAGAGGAACAAGTGAAGGAAGAATATCGTGGGCCACGTTTTGGGTATATAGAATTTGAAGAGCTCTTTAAGTTATCTGAGTGAGAACATTAAAAAGGCAGTTTGAGTAAATAGATCCAAAGATCAAATGAAAGATTTGGACCGTACAGAGAGATTTGGCAATATTCAGCTTTGAACATAGATGAAACTGGGTAGGAAAAGAACAGACAAATTCCACTAAATGAGGTCTTTAGTGACTTGAGTGAGAGCAAATTCAAAGCAGTGATGAAGGGAGACGGTAATAAGAAATGGGCTGAGGTGCAGGTGGGAAACAAACCGGAAATGCCAGAGCAGTGATCTCTTCCTAAATACTTGGCTGTGAAGGTCAAAGACATGGGTCACATGGGAATAAAGTCAAAGAAAGAACTGAAAAATAACTAGGAAAAAAATTTGCATGTGTTTAAGTGAGAAGAGATTTCTGTGGGGGGCAGCCCTGTGGTGTAGTGGGCTAAGCCTCTGCCTGCTGAGCTGGAATTTCATATGGGTGCTGGCTCATGCTTTGACTGCTTGCTACTCTTCCAATCCAGCTCTCTGGGATTGGTTAGTGAAAGCCACAGAAGATGGCCCAGGTGCTTGGGCCCCCACACCCATATGGGAGACCCAGAAGAAGCTCCTGGCTCCTGGCTTTGGATCAGCCCATCTCCAGCCATTGTGGCCATTTGGGGAGTGAACCAGTGAATGGAAAACCTTTATTTCTGTCTCTCCCTCTCTGTAACTATGCTTCTTAAGTAAATAAATACATCTTTTTAAAAAGAGAGAGAGAGTGAGAACTATTTTTTTTTGGATATAGCAAGAAAGGTATTCAGAAATCAGCTACTTAGAAAGCTGAAAATAATCTCAATCCAAAAGCAGGGGACAGAAGAACAAACTGTGTGAGTACAAGCAATTGTGTAGGTAATATAAATGGAAATTTAGGAAAATATACTACAAAATCTAATTTTCTTCCTTCAATAAGAAGACCACATACTCAGAAACGGACATTTGAATATTATGGAGAATATTTGAATTATTTGCTTTTCAGAAAATCAGTATAATTAAAATAAAGTAGTGTATTGTACTCTTGAGGGCTTTAGATACCAGATATGCAGTGCAATCTTTTAAAGGTATTTAACAATATTCTTACCAGGTTTAGCAAGAAGTAGACAGAAACTTAACCAGATTGATAAACTTGCTAATTAATGAGAAATGGATGTAAGGTATAAAACTTAGCTTTTTTGAAGTTAGTACTTCTATCCATCATTCTCTGGGAGTAATTCAGAAAAGTTCATGGAAAAATGGAATTTTAAAAGTATATACTTATTTTGGTACAAGATATTTTAGTGCAAAAAGTTTTCACGCAACATGGGAAAATTGTTCAAAAATTGTTTACCAATTTTACTACTGTTTTTTCATCAAAATCAACTCATACTTTAATTCTACTTCTCCATGACTTTTTGAAGCACCCTCATGTAATGCCTGCTAGAGTAGAATGTAAGGAAGACCTAATGAGGGAAAGATAGAAGGGACAGATACTATGAAGTTAATATAGCAGATTCTGCCTAATCCCATAGTCATCTTAAGGCAGTACAAAATTAATTGTACAAAGACTGATGAAGACATCTACTGCTCTAAAAGTCTGCTACAAAGGAGACCATTCCCTGAATCTACTTTCTTTTCAAATTCCAACTGTTTTCCTTAAGATTTATTGTAAGATATGAGTATGTAAGAGCAAAAGTATATTGACATATTTCTTCTATGTCTTTTGGGGCACAAGCTCAACACCACAAAAGTCAAACAGTTCAGCCAAGAAAAGTTGTGGTAGGAAACATACAAATAGGGTAACCCACACATACAGGGCAGGAAACACAAAAGGTAAGCACTTGAGGGGATTGGACACTAAATGAAAAGTATACTCATGAACCTGGAGTCAACATCATGAAAGCGTGAAGCACAGTACACACTGTTCATTGAGCAGCTAGGATGTGCAAAGCACTGAATTCAGCCATATGGATAGGCTACTGATGGCAAATTGGAGGGATGTTTCATAAGGAATTTTCATAATTGAAGAGGAGAAATCTATGTACCACGCAACTAAAATACAAGACAATGGAACCGATCAAGATGTCCCTCCATAATCATATTGAACCAAAGTGAGTCATCCACATATTTCCAATCATTTGCGTTAGACTCACAGACATGCACACACACACCAAACATTTGGCTTGCAGCCCATGAAGAAGAAAGAAGAAAATAGCTCTCTTTCTTTCTTGTTTAATTTTATACCTTCAGGATCAAAATAATCTTGCTTCTGAATTAATCCTTCAGTGTCTTCTCCTTACAGGAGAATCACTCGCCTTGATGGCAATGCATGACCACAAGTGAATTTCAGCTTTTTTTTTTTTTTTTTTGACAGGTGGAGTTAGACAGTGAGAGAGAGACAGAAAGAAAGGTCTTCCTTCAGTTGGTTCACCCCCCAAATGGCTGCTACTGCCGGCGCGCTGCGCTGATCCGAAGCCAGGAGTCAGGTGCTTCCTCCTGGTCTCCCATGCGGGTGCAAGGCCTAAGCCCTTGGCCATCCTCCACTGCACTCCCGGGCCACAGCAGAGAGCTGGCCTGGAAGAGGGGCAACCGGGACAGAATCCGGCGCCCCGACCGGGACTAGAACCCAGGGTGCCGGCGCTACATGTGGAGGATTAGTCTAGTGAGCCATGCCGCCGGCCTAATGCATGACTACAAGTGAATTTCAGCTATTTTCAAAAACTATTTTTGCCTACAGAAGATGCCAGTTGTTCAATACGAGAATTGAAAAAAATGTGTTCTAGGTTTTGAGAGTGAATACCTGGCATTAAATTATTTTTTTAAAAGATTTATTTATTTATTGGAAAGACAGATTAACAGAGAGGCAAAGGCACAGAGAGAGAGGGAGAGATGTTCCATCCACTGGTTAAATCTAAATTCTTTCTTGAAATGTCATTTATTTAGTAGTAAATTATATAATTTTTCTTGGTTTTCTCATCTATCACATGTCAACAAAAGTACTATCCCTCTCATAGACTTGTGTGAAGGATTATTTAAGAAAACTTATATGAAGCATTTAGCAAAGCACCTAGGACATTCTAAATACTCAGTAATTAGAGCTGTATAGCTAGTGTAGATACAACTAGCAATACTGGCTTCCTCTAACAAAGTAGTTATGCACTTTGCCTAATAATTTTTTTCAGTAGTATGAGTTATTGGTCCCAGAGGTCAAAACCAACCTTTGACAGTTAGACCACCTGTGGGAGCACTGCACGGCTGCTGAAAGAAGCAGGATGTAGGCAGACAGCATCCTCAGCCACAGAGAGAGAATCCCCGCCGTGTCTATTGATCTGGAAACTGCTGTTGAGTTTGGACTGTAACTCACTACACGGATCTTCCGAAACTTCATTCAGCGCTAGGACAGGCCAAAGCCAAGAGCTTCAGAGCTTCACCTGAGTCTGGCAGAGGCCCAAACACTTGGGTCATCTTCTGCTGCTGCTTTATCCAGGCCATTAGCAAGGATCTAAATCATAAACGGAGCAGCCAGGATATGAACTGGTACCCATATGGGATGCTGATGTCTCAGGCAGAGGTTTTACCTGCAATACCACAAGGATGGCCCCTTTCATGAGTTTTTTGAAGATGCCTCATGAATTTATTTCAATAGTATTTTGCACCTGAATAAACATCTTTCAGTTTCATTCTCTATTAAGTTTTTGAAGTCCCCTCATATGTTCAGCTGCTGGTACAAGCACACAACTAAATGTTATAGTAGTTTAAGCTTCAGCAATAAAATCAAAATCATATTCAGAAACTGTTGTTCTCTGAGAAAGAATACACACATATACAATAATTTTAGAAAGCTGAAAACATGCACAAGCTAAATCTCTAGTTTATTTTGTTGAAGAATCACTTAAATTCCTTGCCTAATAGCTAACTTGGGGGTCAAAACTGAGCCACTCATCCACTCTGGATGTTTGCTTGTGTTGGTTTGTGCCCCCTACTGCTGCTGTGTGCTGGCAGTTCCCACTGACTCCGGCAGAGAGAATTGCAAGAAGCCAGCTTCATGGAAGTAGAGAGGGAAAAGGCTAGAAACCGATCCTGGGCTGACAAAAGAAGGAAAATAATGCTGAAATGGGATAAAAGACAGCAGTCCCACTCAGATGGAGCTGCCAGAAAATGGAAACAAAACAATTCTAAGAAGGGTCAAGGCCACTTCCTTACAGAGTGGTGAATAATCCATTTGGTGATGGGAATGCATTTGCTTCTTTTTATAAGTGCCTGCTATGTTACGCAGGATTGCAAATTCTGGAAGCACAAGAGATTGCCAAAATGGAAGAGAATAGCATCAGAAAAGGGAGACTGCAAAATTTCTGAGGTTCAAGTGTGGATTCTTTGGCAAAAGACAGACTGTTTCCCTGCTGTGCATACTTACCGAGAAAATAATGCTTTTATGTTAGTCAATATAAGTAACTCCAAAAATGT